TTGACTAAGATTTCTTAACAAATGCATGCATGAGCTTATAAATGAACTGTGAAATCTTAAAATGGGGATGAAAGTGTATATAATAATATTCTTATAATATTTAATACAATGATTATTAATATAATAATTAACATTAATTTAAACATCTTTAAAGTATAATTACCACTACTGCTATTATATATGCACAAACATGCAGTTTAGAAATATTTTCTTGTTGGTTATATTACATGTAATTTTTGCAAGGAAAAATTCTCAATCCTGTTTTTCAAAATGAAGGAACAATTAAACTCAAAATCCTTGGCACACATTAATTGCATAGTAAATGTTAGAACAGCTACATAGTAAGTGTGTATATCAATGGAAAGCAGGTTCATTGAGGGCATCACTTTTGTTTTCTTAATATAATTAGTCCTTATTGTAGTTAAATGTCTACCAATTTGAATTGAGATGCCCAAAGAACTGGTAAAATATTACTTCCGTGTGTATCTGTGAGGGTGCTCCTAACAGAGATTAATGTTTGAAAAGGTAGACAGAGTAAAGAATAATACCCTTCTCAACATGGTTGGGCATCATCCAATCTGTTGAGGGTTTAAATTGCACAAAAATAATCATCGGAAGGGCAAATTTACTGTCTCATTTACTCCTTTCCTCAGATAGTAGAGCTCCAGATTCTGGAGCCTTTCAACTCCAACTTGGCCTTACACCAGTGGTTCCCATGGTTCCTGGGTTTGGGAGCTTGTTTGGAACTAGACCATGGCTTTCCCAGTCCTTCAGCTTGAAGGCAGCAAAATGTGAGATTCTCAGCCCCTGTAATCATGACAGCCAATCCCTTATGATAAATCTCTTGGTTTTGTTAGTCTCAGAATGTTGTCTTGAATTTAGCAGTTGTTCCAGAAATGTTTACAGAACAGAATGAAACAGGACAGCATACACTGGAAATATTGTTTAACATAGGGCAGGCAGTGTGTAACTGTTTGCGTTTCTTAACAGATTTTTTCCACTATTAACATAATCTGGGTTGTCTAATATATTAGATATTAGCAGCATACAACTATTTAGTCTTTAAAAAATGACCAATCAGGGAAGGCAATTTATGTAGAAATTAAAATATCATTTGAAATGTCTAAGTGCCATATCAGAGTAGCTGGGTTCAACCCTAGCTCTATTCTTCATTCTAGCTTCCTGCTAACGTATATCCTGGGAGGCAGCTGGTAATGGTTCAAATAATGTGGTCGTTGACACTCATGTAGGAAATTGGATTGAAGTCTAGGATCATGGCTTTGGCCTAGCCCAGACATGGCACTTGTGGACATTTGAGGAGTCAACCAGAAAATGGAAAATCTGTCTCTATCTCTTTTTCAAATAAATAAATAAAATAAAATGGATAATTTTTCAAAAACAAAGTGTTTCAAAAAAGGAAATATGTCAAGTCCACGCTGACAGATGATATAGCTGTAAAATGAACATTGAATATCAAAGATTTAGTACAAAAAAGAAAAAATCTTAAAGGATTTTAGTATTGTTTATATGTCAAAATGATAGCATTTTGTACATGCCAGTTTAAATAAAATGTTATTCAAATTAATTTTACATATATCCTTCTTTTTTTAAGTGTGGTGTGAAAGAACTTTATATTCCATGGGTAGCTGGCATTGTATTTCCATTTCACAGCACTACTGTGTTCTTATCACCATGCAGGTTAGGTTATTTTGCCTACAATTATATTATACTAACACATTACAATTACCCCAATCTACTGAAATTTTCTAAACTTTATTTTTATAGAAATTATCCACCTCTTAAAAGCTAGTTTACAGAGAAAAAGTGATGGGTATGCCTGACATGTTTCAAACAGTGTACTTATTTTTAGTATCTGCTTAATATAAGTTAAAGCATTTTGGAAATTTGCAGTGTGACATGAAATAGTCCAATTATTGTCATGTGGCTTCTTTTTTTTTTTTTTAAACTTTTATTTAATGCATATAAATTTTTTTTTTATTTTTTTTATTTTTGACAGGCAGAGTGGACAGTGAGAGAGAGACAGAGAGAAAGGTCTTCCTTTGCCGTTGGTTCACCCTCCAATGGCCGCCGCGGCCAGTGCGCTGTGGCCGGCGCACCGCGCTGATCCGATGGCAGGAGCCAGGAGCCAGGTGCTTTTCCTGGTCTCCCATGGGGTGCAGGGCCCAAGCACCTGGGCCATCCTCCACTGCACTTCCGGGCCACAGCAGAGGGCTGGCCTGGAAGAGGGGCAACCGGGACAGAATCCGGCACCCCAACCGGGACTAGAACCCGGTGTGCCGGCGCCGCTAGGCGGAGGATTAGCCTAGTGAGCCGCGGCGCCGGCCTATTTAATGCATATAAATTTCCAAAGTACGACTTATGGATTACAATGGCTTCCCCCCCATACCGTCCCTCCCACCCACAACCCTCCCCTTTCCCACTCCCTCTCCCCTTCCATTCACATCAAGATTCATTTTCGATTATCTTAATATACAGAAGATCAGCTTCAATCAGTTCCTTAAACAGAACCTAATTATGATTCAGAAAATTATAAATTATTGTGGTTTCATGGCCTTTATAGAGCATGCACAAATTAGAAACTAGATGTTTTATAACAACTATCTCTAAGGAAAATTAAATTCTGGCTTCTGTACCAACAGCATTTTTTAGGAATTATAAAGATAATGCCACAAATAAGAGTTTTTCATTTAAAAGCTTATTTATATTGTTTTAGTAAACTGATAGCCATATCAAGGTCATTTCAAGGTTGGTATAAACACTTGGATGATGATAAAATTAGTCTTTTGTATTTGTTCATAGAGATTATAAGCCCCAAAACTTTGTTCTGTTTACCGAATGTACATATATGATAGCTTCCATTTCAATTCCTGATATCAGTGCACTGAAAACTACTGACATCAGTTAACCCCAATCATTAGATAAGTCATCTACACTAAGCAGTTCACAGTATGTTTTCATGTTGAATGTAAAACTCGTTTTCTTCCACTGTCAGCGCTAACAGGTCACTCGCTCCAATTAAACGCAATAATCAAAAATCATTTCTAAGTGGTGGAGTATCTCAGTTGAACAGGAACATAATGGTATCTCTTCTTTTATGTCATCTGAAAAGATTTAGATGTAATATGAATATAGTCTGTCATGATTAAAGATAGAAATTAAGTCTAAGAAGGGAATAAGAGTGGAGACCCTAGTGACTCAACACAGCAAGAACAGGGATTATTCAAGGTAGAGCAATGATTAAATGTGCATAAGAGAAGAAGGTAACCTTTTTCTTTAAAATGGGAATGAAAGTGCCAGTTTTCTGAGATGAGTTCTTTAACCCTAGCCAGCTTGAGCAATTTGTCAACTGCAGCGAAGTGTGGCAGGGTAAGCCCTTGAGCCTCAGCCATGTGGTTTGGAGACTGGCTTCCTTGAGGCTGAATGAACAAGAGGATACTTTTGCCTCAAGGATATCCTGTTGTCATTGCAGTCCACAGATTATCAAAATAGTTGAAAAGTAATTCTCACTAATTAAATGAACTCGCCTCATATGTACCCTAGCTAAAAAAACATGAAAATATTAGACCAGCTAAAACTACCAAATAAATTGCCCACATACTATGGTTAAAAAAAAAAAAATGTGACCATTAGCTATGTCTCTGAATCCTGGATCTACCATGTAATTTTTCACCTTATGCAATTTATTTAACCTCAATGAACCTTAGCTTTTTCTTATGCAAAATGAAAGTAATATATGTAAGATTTAGAAAAATCATTCTATAAAGCTTCTGGACTATAATAGGTCTTTAATTCATGTCAGTATCTCTCTACAAAACTAAATCATAGTAATGTACATTATTATGTATACACTGATAAAAATACATTGATAAAATAGAAAGGGGATAATTTTGTATTCACTCTTAGCATATTTTTTACTTGATATGGGAGCAATATAATGTTCTAGAAACTTTCTGGGATCTTGCTTTGCACCTCATGCTTCCTTCAAAGTCAAACAAACAAGAACCTGAGCTATCCAGAAGTATGCATGTGTTCCCTGAGTTGGAATCTCCTTCTCTTCCCATCTTGATGAATTCATAGATGTGTCTTCTACTGTGGTTCCTACGCTTCAATCCTTCTAACCTGGATTCCTGATTTCATCCCTATTGTAACTCACTGACATGGCAGGTACTGCCCACTTTCTTTGCCCATCCTTCTCTGAAAATCTGATCATTCTGGTACACACAGAAATATTGTCCAAATGATCTGATGGCTACATATTGACAGCAGTCTGCACTACCTGTGGACTTCAACCTCCTGGTGGGAATTCCAGATCAGAGTGTGGCTTTGATTACAGATAAGCTGACACATCCTTCAAATGCCTGCCTAATCTCAGTCCTACTTCTGGGCCAGTTCTATTGTCAAAGGTTGATTGAGTTCCTTTACCCTCCCTATTCATCCAGTGCTGTCTAGAAGAAACAGCCTTTGAAAAAGGAGCTACAGAATATTATGCTATTATATATACTTCAGTTTTTATTACAATTCTAAGCAGAGGTGCAGTGAGACTATATAAACTTCTTAGACATTGCAAAACGAGTGACAATGAAGGTAATGATAGGAATGTGTTTGAGATATTTAGGAAAGTCAACTGACAAAGCTTATTTTGAATTAATGAGTGACGTGTAGACCTATTTTCCAATTTTATTCTTGTTCCTCTGTTCTGCACTATGCTCAAAACTCCCTCTAGATCAATTTGTAGTGTTCACTTGGATTTGCTCCCTATGGCCTTAGGTGAAAAGGGAATTTTTCATCCCCTTAAGCATAGCAATGGGAAAAAAATGTCTTCCTTTATAACTCTGAGTGACAGGTCTAACAATATTGCCTGCCGTGAGGAATAAACTTGTAAGGAAGTGACGAAGAGACACATCTGATGGAATCTACCAACAGAGCACAGAAGCCTAATTGTTGTTAATTAATTTGTTCCATGTCCTTTCTCTTTTCAGCAAGGAACAACAATCTCACCATTTTCTGAACTTCTCCCATGCCAGCTCTCCTTTGAAAATGAAAGCAAGATGCAATAAACTGTTTGGGGTATGCAACTGCATGGAAATTGGATGTGCTGACTAATCTAAGCAACAGCAAGCATTTCTTATATGTATGCGCGTGTGGAAAAATAAGGAAAAAAGCACCTTGAAATGTCTGGTATTTCTCTAACAGCCCTACAAAAGCTCTCACAGCTCCACAATTGGTATTAAATGTCTCCATAATTGCTGTGGTATTGGGAGGTGCATACACCAGGCGATAAAGAGTTCTCATTGCTAGAATACCAAGAAATAACAGCTCGATTGCAGCTTGCTGGTACATTTTTTTAAAGAGAGAATGTCACCATCTTAACAAGGCATATGGTAATTTTCCTCAGGGTACCTAAGGACAGCAAAGCCTGATGTTGATTAGATACTAAAACTCCTTGTAATTCATGCTCATGGAGGGTATGGACAAGTGATGTGCATGTTTTTGTGTGTATATATGTATAGTGTATACACATGCATATACATACATGTAGTCTATACAGATATATATATATATCATATGTTATGTAAATGAAATAAACAATTTAAAAGTTTTGCTTTTTAAATTTTGCTTTATTTGTCTCATGGGATAAATTCTTCCCCACCATGATTTATTTCAGTTATGTATGAAAAAGACTTGTGATGAGAAACTGGATTCTGGAGAGGTCAGGGGTCAAGAAGAAGGTAAAGCAAGCTGCATTGACTGGTTTCATCTTAAATTTGTTATCTGAAACCTCAAAGGGTAACCAACTGGTCCCCAGAATTTCTTTCATGCTTCTTAAGAAAGCTGTCCCCCACTTCTCCAGAAAATGTCAGGCCTTCTCTTCCGCCTCTCTTCACACCTTCATCCTCCCCTCGCCATCACTGCTGAGAACACCTCCCACGTCAGCCGTTGGCGCCCTTTGGGTCAAGCCTCCCTGCTCTCACCAGCACCTCTCCTGGCCTGGCTCGGCAGCCTCTCCTCCCAGAGGCTGCCCCACCCAGGCAGGGCCAATCCTCCCTCTTGAGCCTGGATGCCGTTCGCTCGCACCTTCACAGAGAGGCTGCTCCTTCAGTATCCACCCTTTTCCTCTCATCACAGCCTTCTTTTCTACCAGTTTATTTTCATCAGCACAGGGACTTGTTCTAGTATCTCCCAATTAAAAAAAAAAAAAAAGCACCAAAACTACCATGCTATTTCTGCCTTCAAATCCTCATCATCCCTACCTTCCTCTGCTCTTGACTGCTGATGAAAAATTAGAAGGTAAAAATGGAGAGGGGGGACATTGGGGCATAGTGGTTTGGGATAACCATATCCTCTATGAGAGTGCTACGGAATGAGACCCCCTACTGTGCTTTCAATCCAGCGTCCTGCTCATGTGCCCCCGGGGAGGTAACAGATGACAGCTCAAGCACTTGGATCTCTGCCATCCACTTGCAAAACCTGGATGTAGTTCCTGGTCACAGCTTCAGCCTGGCACAATGCTGGCCACTGTGGGCATCTGAGGAGTGAACAGTGAATGGAAGATCTCTCTCTCTATCATCTCTCTCTCTCTTTCTCTCTTTCTCTAACTCTATCACTATCACTATTGCTAACTCTTCATCTCCACAGAGGCCTTTCAAATGACCAAAAAAAAAAAAAATTCACACTGTTTTCATACAGTAAAACATTTATTAGCAAAGTTTTGTGACAATGTTAATTAGCAGAGTATTATGTGTTTCTCTGACAATATTTTATATATGTGATAGCAATGAAAAGTCCATAAAGACATGTAAGAACCAAATTAAATAAAAATGTCCACACAGAACAACGGTAAAATATCAAAGAGTACTGACATATTAATGTGCATGTACATATAAATAAGAGTATAGGAACAGTTTTTATTTGAATTAAATTCAATTTTTATTATAACAGATATATAAAAATTATATATATTTGTGAAATACCTGATAATGTTCTGAAACATTGTATGTATCGTATAATGTCCAAACAGTAAACATATCTCCTTCAAACTAACTTCAAAATGTTGAACGACAGATTCAAATTCAGACAAGATACAGGAACTCTGAAGAAAAACCATGGTTGGAGAATGACGTGAGCCATAAAGTGGAGATTCACCACTTCCCAGAAATGTTAGTAAGTACTAAAAGAACTGAAATGTATTTTGGGTATTTCATGTACACTCATCAGCACAGATAGTAATGTGTTATCCTTGATCAAAAAGACAGCATGGACTGTCTTTTATTGGTAGGTAAGTATGGTTGGGTCCCTCACAAAATGTTAAATTTTCCTTTTAAGATGGTACTATAAAGTCACTGAAGCTTGATTGATTTTCACTGTTTTCCCATTTTTACAAACCACACCATAAAGTAGAATGACACTTGTTTTTGTTCTCTGTGGTGGTGACTTCTTTCAAGAGTTATGCATCACTGGGTCAGTCTGGATTTATGTGCAGTGGTCACCGTCTGAACATTCTCTGAGGACAGTCGACGATGATTGCTACATTCAGGTCCACAGTAGATTATAGTCCTTACTTTTTATTTGCTTGCAAGTTTCTTCTGCTGACAAAGGCTATATTTAGCTGAGCTATGTTATGTGATTTGCAAGTTCTTCACCTACATACACACATATTTAAGTAATTGTTTCAAACAAAGGTTCATGCTCCTGGATTTGTAAGGAAGATATAGGTGTAAGTGAAGTATTGTAGCACTGTTTACTTCTGCAACAAGCAAAACTATTCTTAATACAAGTAGCTACACAAATTCCTGCAGGTGAGAATTAGTCCTATCATCTGGCCTGTGTGTCAGATGTCCTCAACGTGCAAATAGACAAAGCCCGTCACATAACCACCCACACAGAGGAGGCTGCTTGGATAGGGTTTCCTGCTTCTTCTGCGGTTGTTTCTGTGAAAGTGATTCCAAATGATGGGCATCAACTGAACACTGCTCCACAGAGGATGGGGAGGCCACGGGCAGACTGGCATAAATCAGCAGTGTAATTCAGAGCAGAGACGCTGGCAAGAGAAGCAGCACTGAGTCTGAAGTTGGGAGATAAGCTCTGGCCCTGGTTCAGCCCTTTGCTTGGTGGGGGACACTAGGCAAATGGCTGAATTTCTCTGAGTCTCCTTTATGAAGCTGGATGACTACCCCTAATAATGCTTGTTCCTCCAAACTGCTGCTTTTAAAATTCAGTAATCAGAATGCTGTGTTTTTTGTTTCTTCTTGATTTTTATTTATATAAAGGGAATAGATTTCATGTATTCCATGTATATAATTTTAAGAGCATAGTGATACTTCCCACCCTATCCTCCCTTACTCCCACCCTTCCTTCTCCTTCTCTCATTTTTCTTTTAATTTTACAGTGGCATACTTTCAATTTACTTTATCATCACAAGCTTAACCCTCCACTAAATAAAGAATTTAACAAGTAGTAAGTCGAAACTCTATTGTTCCTCAAGAGTATAGACAAGGGCTGTAAACAATAATCAAATCTCAAAATGTCAATTTCAGTCATAAACATTCCATTTTTCTACTCTGTATATTAGTTACCACAAATCAAGGAAAACATATGCTATTTAACTTTTTGAGACTGGCTTATTTCACTAAGCATAATGGTCTCCAGTTACATCTATTTTGTTGCAAAAATTATATTATCTATATGGTAATATGTTCTTGAACACTGATTTTCAAAATGTGTATGCTTTTCAGCAAGTAGAATAATGTAATAGCACACACAAACACACACACATATGCTTTTTTATTTCTTTAATCTTACTCTGTTAATTACCTTCAATGAGCTCTTAAGGTATCTAATTTTCTACTATCACAGTGGCTGCTTTTCTGTAATAAATTATATTAGTTTGCTAGAATTGCCTGAACTAAATATCACAAATTGAGTTGCTTAAACTAGAGAAATTTATTATCTCATAATTCTGGATGCTGGAAGTCCAAGAGGAAGGTACCAGTAGACTTGGTTTTCCTCCTCCTTTATTTTTCTATTAGATAAAGGATTTAGAATTTCTTTAATTTTTATTAATATAAAAAGAACAGATTCCATGTATTTCATAGATACAGTTCTAGAAAGATAACCATAGTTCCTTCCCTCCCCATCACTGACACAATCCCCCTCTTCCTTTCTTTTTCTTTAATTTTTGCAAAGACATAATTTTAATCCACTCTATAATCACAGGCTTAACCAATTACTAACCATAATATTCAAGAATTAAAAGCTAAGAAAACCATAGTTCCACAGGAGTAAAAACAAGGGCTATAAACTACAATCATATCACAAGATGTCCATTTCATTCCTGTACATTTTTTATTCTATATTAACTGCCACATATCAGAGAAAATATATGATATTTGTCTTTTTCAGACTGGCTTATTTCAAGAAACAATGATTTTCAGTTCAATTCATTTTTTTTTCAAGTGAGAAGATTTCATTTGTTATGGCTGAGTAGTATTCCACAGTGTATATATACCATAATTTCTTTGGTCATCAGTTGATGGACATCTAGGTTGATCCCATGCCTTCAGTATTGAGTGAATTGAGCTGCAATAAACACTGGTGTACAGGCAATTCTTTCATATGCTGATTTCATTTCCTTTGGGTAAATTCAAGGAGGAATGAATGGGTTATATGGCAGATCTATTTTCAGATTTCTGAGGAATCTCCATACTGTCTCCCATAATGGTTGTACTAGTTTACATTCCCACCAAGAGTTCATTAGGGTACATTTTCCCCCACCTCCTTGCCAGCATTTATTGTTTTCTGAGTTTTCAATTATAACTGGGTAAGGTGGAACCTCAGTGTGGTTTCTATTCTGAGCATTTTTTTTTTAATTTTATTTTTTATTTTTTTGACAGGCAGAGTGGACAGTGAGAGAGAGAGAGAGAGACAGAGAGAAAGGTCTTCCTTTGCCGTTGGTTCACCCTCCAATGGCCGCCATGGCCAGCGCGCTGCGGCCAGCACACAGCGCTGATCCGATGGCAGGAGCCAGGTACTTCTGGTCTCCCATGGGGTGCAGGGCCCAAGTACTTGAGCCATCCTCCACTGCACTCCCTGGCCACAGCAGAGAGCTGGCCTGGAAGAGGGGCAACCGGGACAGAATCCGGTGCCCTGACCAGGACTAGAACCCGGTGTGCCGGCGCCGCAAGGCGGAGGATTAGCCTAGTGAGCCACGGCGCCGGCTTATTCTGAGCATTTTTATGCATCTTTTGGTCATTTATACTCCATTCTTTGAATAATGCTGTTCTTTTGTCCATTTCTTAACTGGATTTGGATTGTTTGTTGAGTTTCTTGAGCTCTTTATAGATTCAGGATATTAATCCTTTATCAGTTGCATAGTTTGAAAATATTTTATCCCATTATGCCTGTTGCCACTTAACTTGTTTGTTTTTTCAGGGGAGGGTGTCAAAACCAGGGATTCCCCTTCACTTTGCTGAG